TAGACCATTTAGACCCTGGGACATTGAAGTATACCGAGAGTTACATTCCTCAGGTGGGAAACGAATTCCCAGAGAGAACAGAATTGAGGAATTGAACTGACCTGGAGTGAGAGAGCACTCGTTTTTCACCACTGGGGGGGTTTTTTTGAGAGAGAATCGAAGGGTCAGAGACTCTGGGGGAGTGCTCTGGGTAGGGGTTTATGTTCATAGGTATTGTGCGAGGGTTATTGTGATTTGGAGGCTTTACGTCACCGACAGAAAGTGTTTTTTTTCTCACGTATTTATGAATTATCACCTACGGTTACCGCAAACAGTACAGCGCCATCTTGATTTATCAATGGATCAACCGTGTTATATACTTTGTGCTAATGCGCGCGCATGTGGGTTTGGATTTGTGGTGACATCTCCCATGAGCCGGGGAGGATAGATCGTCGGAGGTTTAGGAGTTGACGGATGGTAAGAGAGTGCTCTGGAATTTTCGACGCGAGTGGTTGGAGAGGGGACGGCCATATAATTACCAGGAAAATAATGAATTTTCTAATGAAATCAATTTAGATCTTTTGGGAATAATTTAGGATAGTTTAGGAACATGACTTTACAATTTAGGAACTAATAGCTTTTTTTCAATTAATTTGTCTTTATACGACGCATAGTTGGCTGGTGAAATTGTCAAATGTCATTAAAATTAGCATACATCGATGCAAAATCATTTGGGCATTGTAAAAGATTATAATTTGCAGTTTGGGAATCGGAAATTATTATAAAAACAATTTTTTCTTAATTTTAATACCCCCCGTTTCACGCGTGCCGTTGCTCTGTGGATAATGAGCAATTAATACATTACGCAACTAGTGCGGAAAGCAGGCGGTTACTCACGAGGGCGGCGCAGCCGCTCGAGTGAGACCGCCTGCTGTCCGCACGTGTTGCGTATACTATTTTATATGATAAGTGCATGATGAAGTGTGGGGGCGGAGGGGGGTGTGGGGCGAAGCCCCCCACGAGAAAAGGGGGTCCAGGGGGCGAAGCCCCCGTGGGGGGGGGGGGGGGGGGGGGGCAAAGCCCCCCCCC